GTGATCAGGTATAGTATACACTTCATATCTTTGATAAGGATAAGTTATAATAAGTTTTTCATTGAAGTGCTTTTTAGCCATATCTTATAAAACACTCTTACATTTGTCTATAAAATCTAATAAAATACAACTCAACGATAATTAATTAAATATAAATATATATTAATAAAAATAAATATTATATCTTTAATAATTATAATATATTAAAATGTTAGTTCTCCAGAATAATACAAATAATATCAGAATAATAAAACATCAGCATTTTGTAAAACATATTTCATATACTAATAAGTCTACAGATATTATAATTGAGATTTTTTGGTTAATGCCAAAGGTGTCAATGAGGGAAGTGATGTAAAATATAAGTATAATATGAGGAATAGATGTGTTTCTCATGTGTTTGATGTCATGGAAAAGACATAAACCATAAAGAATTGGAAAATAAAAGAAAAGTGTTTTCTATGAAGGCATTGGAGATCACTATCAGGAGTGTACAAACAATTCAAGTGAAACACTGGCGCCCATAAAGATAAGGTGAATGAAGGCACAGATTAGGGAAAGTTTGGTGAATAGTTCCCATTTGCAGAGTTTTAATGATAATAAGAGTGCAAAAATCATAATCAATAAAACAATAGACGTGTAGGGAAGGGCGTCGCTCTCTATTGGGATAAATGCCTGCTTATAGTCGCCATTAGTCCGAGCCAATTGGATCAGACACTGCAGAAGCCACGGAAGACCTAATCCGACGACTATAGCGAATATGTTGGACGCGATGGCGGCGCACATACCCATCGACGCCAACCCATGTTTTTTGATCACTATTATCGNGTGCGCTAATAATCGTTTACTTGAACTCAATTCGCTTAATGGGATGTTTGCCAATGACTTAAAGTATTGCTGATATGATGGGTATTTGGCGAAGAAGCTAATCCAGGCAAAGAATATATTATTATATTTAATGTGTTAGACATTTAGACATCAACTTGAAACTTAATTCACTGATAGCTTATTGTTTGCCTTAAGTCTGCATTTTAATAGTCTTTTCTATTTCTATTTAGCCTTCACTTTGAAAATTCGCGAAAACTTATTAAAAATAAGTTTTCCGACACTTGACTACCGGTGCCTTTTGGTTGAAGACATTTTACGACTTTTGAGAAAGGGTTGAGAAAGTGTTAAATACTTCTAAAAATATTTTATTTATAATAATGAACATGATTATGATAAATACAAAGGGTATTACAAGTTTAGTTAAAGTATTATTTTTTGAGCAAACAATTTCCAAAGTGTTTAGATTTAGTGCTCAAACACTTAACGTCTATTAAATTACTCAACACTTTATCGCATATCATATCTATTTTCACCATTTTTTGCTTTATAATTGATTATTAAAACAATTGTCTACAAAAATAGAGTAATATTATAAGTTATAAGTTATACAGATGTATGTATTCAAGTGTTCATATCCTTTACAAAATGATAATATCATTGAATTGAAATTTCAAATTAACATTGAAACTATAATACTCTCATATTTAAGACAACATATTCATTGAATTACTCACTCAATGAAGAGCTGATTACCAAAGTTTTTGCCATCTTTCTTAATAGTCTCCCAACTATTTCTCACTAATTGTATCTCATTTTGGTTGAGCACTTCCGAAGTCATAATCACTTAAAAGATATCTTAATTTTTGTTAACAAAAATTAAAAGAGTTTTACAAATTGTCTAAAGCGTTAAAAGGGAAATATGTTACTATGATATTCTGTAGTTATTAACTGTATAAAGAGTTTTCAATTAATAAGAAGTTTGCAAAAATACTCTTTTCATAAATAATCAAGATTTTGAAATTTTTGATAAACATATTACAGAAGACATTGAAATTTTAATGATTGATTACATGAACATTTTTGAATGAATTCCTTTATAAATATTTAAGTGATTGATAAATTGGTATATTCTTTAAAAACCAAATATCAATATTATACTGTATATATATATACAAAGTCTTATTTAATTTCTAATTGATATCGAAGGCCAGAGTACACTCAAAACCCTCTTCTAATCATTGGAGACATAGAAATCTTATTGAAAGCGATTAATTGCATAAATAAATTAATTTTTAATATCATTTAATTGATGAAATGGTTTATGAATTGAACTCAAAGTTTTACTATGGTTTTAAACATGAAAATTGATAAATTTATTAAGTTTTCAAATATTTTTAGATATTTGCTACTACCGGTAATTGAAAATTAATTATTTATTATAATGCCAATAGTTATAATAATATAATTTTTTAGATAAAAAATAAACAGCAATTAACAAACTCATTAAGAACTTTAGCTTGTATTTGCTTTTGTTTATATTAGCTTGAATTTTGTAATAATGTTATATAATTTATTTGTCTGCACTATAAATAGTATTCATTATAAAGTTCGCACAAATATTAGAACATGAGCAGGTTAATTAGCATAAATAACCTTGATAGTGTGAACGTGTTAAGTAATTTAATTTTGAGTACAATACAAACTTAATTAATAAGTGAATTCTTGTGAATCGATTATTTCCTTCTGTTATTAACAATAGCCCTCAAAAACGACATAAACTGAAAATGCATTAAACAATAAATCTAAGAAAGCAAACAATAATAGCGAATGAATTCAAAAACACATTCAAAAGTGCAAGAATCACTCATAAGCTCGTCATTAATTATAATTATAAATGCATTACTAAATTATAGTATTTAAACAAAAATAAAAAATTTATATAAATTTTAGACCCAAACGTATTTATTATTCAGTTACTGAAAGCCTGCGATCACATAGTTTTCAAAAAGTTTTGAAGTGCAATACATTTTAATTAGATTTAAAAATGTTTAAAATTCTTATGTTTGGATTACTACTGGCTTATGCATTAGACTCTTACACAAGTGAGTACTGGTGAATATATTTTTCAATTATAATTTCATATTTATTATGAAATAACGTTATACCTTATTCATATTTTAATAATTAGATATTGGTAACTTAAATTAATTACTAATTGATTGAATGTATTGATTTAGTGAGTTGTGGACCTGTGAGGGCTCGACAACTGGAAGTGGAGTCATCTGAGCGTCAGTTAGACATTCCGAACGACAATGAAATCCCAGAGAACTCAGGCAATAGACCGGGTCTTTCGCCATTCAATCCTCGCAGAAGAGGCACCCAATCCGATGGTCTACTCAACCGAATTGTAAACTTCTTCAAGAATATGCTCGGATTCGGTGATAGCAATGGAGGCCAAGGAGGCCAAGGAGGGGGAGGTATTTTTGGCGGTAGAGGAGGTGGCGGAGGATTATTTGGTGGCGGCGGAGAAGGTGGCGATGGATCCAGTGGTGGAATCTTAGGCTTTATTCGTCGGGCATTCGGTGGTCTTATCGACAGTTTAATGAATAGGTTTAAAGGCCGAGGAGAGGGCGGAGTGGGCGGAGAGGGGGGTTCCGGAGACTTCCCACTGATCAGACCCCAGATCAGGAATGAGCCGTTACGCAAAAATTAATTTATAATTAAATTAATATTTCTTTGTGATTCAGATTAGAGTTGAATGACTTATGTTTTATGCAAACAAACTAATCGTTATTTATTTGTAATAACTATTCTCGACAACTGGAAGTGGAGTCATCTGAGCGTCAGTTAGACATTCCGAACGACAATGAAATCCCAGAGAACTCAGGCAATAGACCGGGTCTTTCGCCATTCAATCCTCGCAGAAGAGGCACCCAATCCGATGGTCTACTCAACCGAATTGTAAACTTCTTCAAGAATATGCTCGGATTCGGTGATAGCAATGGAGGCCAAGGAGGGGGAGGTATTTTTGGTGGTAGAGGAGGTGGCGGAGGATTATTTGGTGGCGGCGAAGAAGGTGGCGATGGATCCAGTGGTGGAATCTTAGGCTTTATTCGTCGGGCATTCGGTGGTCTTATCGACAGATTGATGAATAGGTTTGGAGGCCGAGGAGAGGGCGGAGTGGGCGGAGAGGGGGGTTCGGGAGACTTCCCACTGATCAGACCCCAGGTCAGGAATGAGCCGTTACGCAAAAATTAATTTATAATTAAATTAATATTTCTTTGTGATTCAGATTAGAGTTGAATGACTTATGTTTTATGCAAACAAACTAATCGTTATTTATTTGTAATAACTATTTGTTTTGATTTGAATCTCATTTTTATTTGTTTTAATTTTATTGTATTGAATATGTTGAATTAAATTTTCTAATTAATTAATTATTTAAGAAGTTTTAGTCTTATAAAAATGTTATAATTATTTAAATAAAAACAAAACTGTTTGCCATACAAATTGTTTATCATTTATTGGAAACACTTAAAGTGATCAGGTATAGTATACACTTCATATCTTTGATAAGGATAAGTTATAATAAGTTTTTCATTGAAGTGCTTTTTAGCCATATCTTATAAAACACTCTTACATTTGTCTATAAAATCTAATAAAATA